TTTTTTTTTGTTCCTCAGCATCTGAAATGTCGCCTCCTCCTCCTCAGGATGGTTCTTATTACCAGTACACAATCTGAAACAAAATGACCATGGTCAGATGGACTTCCTGTTTGACTCTAAGGTGGGTTTCTGGCTCACCGGTTGTTTCATGCTTCATCAGTCGATCAGCTCCCACTGGGTTGTGCTGACTATCCGGTAGTTGTTCTTCCGGTAGTTTTCGGGGTGAATCTGTCGCTGTCGCCACGTCTCCTCGTACAGACTGCGGACCACTGGAAGCAGCGGGGGGAAGCCGGCAGTGAGTGCCAGCCTGTCGCAGTACTCCCACTGACCCTGGTCCATTTTTAGAAGGTGGCGCCACTGGACTCCCTGCTCAAGCTTTTCCTGTTGCTCCCGTCGGACCTCCTCCTCCATCTGCTCCCGAGACGGCAACGTGACAGTGCCGTCCAACACTGCCAGTGCAAACTGGACCTGAGGAGGAAAGAAAGTTGATGACAGTTCTTTAATGAACCTGTTCTTGACCTGTGTGGACTCTGGCTCACCTGGCAGTTAAAGTTGGGGAAGGGGCAGATGATCTTACAGATACCAATGAAGAAGAGACTGGGGAAGGCAGGAGGAACCATAAATCTGTACAGAGGGGACACTATATGATCCTGGATCTCCACACCCAGTTGGGCTGCGTCCAGAAAGGGATACTTGAAGTTGTACCCAGTGCAGAACATCAGGACGTCAGCCTCACACACCAAGCCATCCTGGGACAAACATATTCAACCAAACACGAAGGTTGCACTTCAGCAAGGTATTCGTTTAAAATGACAAAAAAAGACCAAGAGATAAAACTGGTGTTTCCATGGTAGGTGTGCAGGTAGAGTTCACCTGAAGGCGAATGCTGCCGTTGTCATTGATCGCCACCACTGAACTGGTCTGTTGAATTCCAGGATGAAGAGGAAATGCCAGTGGAGAGTCTCTGTGACTCAGAATCACCTGAACACAAATGGTGGATGATGAGTCCATAGGGACTTTGTTCCCTACGAAGGCTCTAGTTTTAAGGTTTTTATCATTTGAACAGGTTCTGAGACTGGTTGTTACCTTGGCACCGGCTTTGGCCAGTTCAATGGAAATATCTATCCCTGAGGCTTTTGCTCCCAGGACCACCACAGTCTGACCAGAGAAAGGTTCTGGGAACTTGTACAAATGACTGTGAAGCACCTTTCCTGCAAACAGAACGATCAGTATCACCTTGATGTTTTCAGGGCTGAGAGGTCTAACTCCTGGGGACCACCTCAGTGTGTTCAAAACTGAAGGAGGTCCAACACAGAGAGACCACCTCGGTGTGTTCAGGACTAAGAGTGGTCCAACACAGAGAGACCACCTCGATGTGTTCAGGACTAAGAGAGACTGAGAGTGGTACAACACAGAGAGACCACCTCGGTGTGTTCAAAACTGAAGGAGGTCCAACACAGAGACCACCTCGGTGTGTTCAGGACTGACGGAGGTCCAACACAGAGAGAT